CACATGGAACCCGTACCCCCCCCCAACCCGAAATTCGGGTCAAATTCGGGTCTTCGGGTTGGGTTGGGGTGGTCTGGTAGGTAGTCAGTGGGGCGCTGGCCGAAATTTCGATCGAGTCAAAGCACGCACACATCAATTTCGATCGATTGAGTTCGATCGATTCGAAATTTCGAACCGATCGAAATTTCGAATCGATCGATATTTCGATCGATCCGAAGTTTCGATCGGTCGGCGTTGTGGGGGGGTGCGCTCCGACTTCGGTCCGGCCTGCGGCCCCAGAGGGACCCCAAACTCCTCATGTCCCCCGCCCTCGCCTCTGCGAGCGACGCCGACGTCGAGAGTTTCTGCTCGCGCAAAGGTCGCTGGAAGGTATGTTGCCTGTTGTCGGCGGCGAGCGAGGGGGGGGTAATGAGAAGGAGAAGGTCTTCTTTGAAGGCGGCGGGACTTTCGGTGTGTTCGGGGAAGGCTCAGGAGTCTTCTCAGAAGGCTGGGGGGCTTCCGGGCCTTCTGAGCAGGTCTTCTCCTTCTCGCTTCCCCCCCTCGCTCGCGGCCGATGTCCGCCCCGCAGGCCCTGCGCGCCAACTACTACCTGAAGCATGCTGGGACACCGGGGTGGGCAGTCGATGCAGCGCGGCGGTGCAGAGCAGGGCGGAGAGGCGCTGCAGCGGCCGGGCTCCGCCGAGCCGAGGGCGCACGGGGTCCGCCCCCAGACCTGGGGCAGGGGGAGGGCCCATGGCGGCTCGCCAGAGGTGATGCCGCGAGCGAGAGGGGAAGCCTTCCAGGGCGTCGAGGAGCTTCCAGGAGGCGCGCGGGCGTCTCGCAGGCCCTCCCGGCCTCCCAGCAGCCTCTTCCGAGGCCCCCCGTGGCCCTGCGAAGAGGGCCCGTGCACTCGAGGGGGCCCCGCACCCCCGTGGGATCGCGGCCCTCCTCGCCCCCGCCCCCCCCTGGCGCGCGCCGCCCAGGAGAGGGGGAGGGGTTGCACCGGAGAGGCACGCGTGGACCCCGCTGCACGGAAGTCGGGCCCGCCCCTCTGCAGGAGGAGCATGCCCAAAGAGTCAAACAGCAAATGCTCTGGGCACGATTTGTTTGGCATATTCTGTGTGACCATTTGGGAGAATGGTTGGACCATTCTTTTTCCTCGTCGAGGAGGTCCCCCTGTAGGGTCGGGCCGGGCGAAAGGGGGGGATTGGGAAAGGGGGGGTTACGAAATTTGCTGCATGCAGCTGGTTTCGGCCTCACCGAGGGGCCCGTTCCTCGATACATAGCCGCTTCCGGCGCCGGGAGGCGCCGGGAAAATCAGCTACGTGAGCCGAGTCTCACCCCCCCCCTTTGCTATCCCCCCCTTTCGCCCGACCCGATAGGGGGACATGCCCGACCGAAGGGTGTACAGTCCAGGCGCCGATTTGTTTGGCATATTCTGTGTGACCATTTGGGAGAATGGTTGGACCATTCTTTTCCCTCGTCGAAGATCCATTTGCGTGTGACCATTTGGGAGAATGGTTGGACCATCTTTTTCCGTCGAGGAGGTCCCCCTGTAGGGTCGGGCCGGGCGAAAGGGGGGGATTGGGAAAGGGGGGGTTACGAAATTTGCTGCATGCAGCTGGTTTCGGCCTCACCGAGGGGCCCGTTCCTCGATACATAGCCGCTTCCGGCGCCGGGAGGCGCCGGGAAAATCAGCTACGTGAGCCGATTCTCACCCCCCCCCCCTTTGCTATCCCCCCCTTTCGCCCGACCCGATAGGGGGACATGCCCGACCGAAGGGTGTACAGTCCAGGCGCCGAGAGCAGGACCACGGCGGGCTCCGAAAGGGGCTCTCGGGCCCTCGGGCCGCGCCGCGGCCCTGGGCCTCGGGGCCTCTTCGGGCGTCCCCGGGCCCGGCGTGGCCACAAAAGGTCCCTCCCCTCCTCAATGCAGGAGGGGAAGAAACACACAGACACAATGAATCCTCGATCCCCCAGAAAATGTAGGAAAATATGGGCAGTGGGGGGGAAGGCAGAAACCCAGGAAATGCGGGAAAATATGGGGAATCTTTTTAGTTGTGTGTATTTATTTGTGTGTCCCAGGGCCCCTTCACTCCTGCAAGACGCTTCGCGCTCACCGCTCGCCAGCGGCCGCCCTGTGAGCTGGCCCGGCCGGCCTGCTCTGCGCCCTGCAGCTACTTATCGGGGGAGCGTACGACCCGGGTTTGCCAGGACTCGGGTTCGCCATCGTTTTCGACGACCGCGCCTCGGATTTTGACGAGGAGGAGTTTCGTGGGATGTCTGCAGCGGGAGGCCTCGTCAAAATGCAGGCTCGGCCTCGTCATTTTTTTGACGACCTCGTCGGGGATTTCCGAGTCCCCTGTGCCCGGGTCTTACGCCCCCCTGGAATTAGCCTTGGTCGCAGCCCCGGACAACTGCTGTCGCCGCCCTGCGTTCTTCGCTCGTGGCCGCGGCCGAAAGAGTGCACCGCCCGCCCACCGGGTCGGGAGTTTCGTTTCTGGCCCTTCCTCTCAGTGGCTGCCTGCGCGCTCGCTTCGCTCGCCTCGCTTTTCTTGCTGCCCAGTCGCGGCCCCGCTGGTGTTCGGACGGCTTCCGACCTGCCTCGCGAGCCCGCAGACCCAAAAAAGGTTCACCGCTCGCCCTCTCCAGGTCTCGCCGTCCGTGTGCCGGAGGTGGCCGAGCACAGTGCCCCGCGGCGGTGCGGAGTGCCCCCCGACATCGCGCGAGGACCCGCCAAGAATGGGCCAGACATGGAAAAAAAACAAAAATAATGGCAACAGACCAAAACATCAAACTATGTGTGTTTTTGTGTTAAAATAATGGGCCAAGCACGGCTCGAAGACAGCCCAGGAGAGGCCAAGGCCCAAGAGGGCCTCGGGAAAAGTCCAGGGAGAGGGGCGAAGATGGGCCCGAGGCGGCCTGGCGGGCTCCTGGACGGCACCAGCGTGGGCACTGCCGCGTTCGGCCGAAGCCCCGTCCTATCTTGCATTGAAAACGGGCCAGTACCTTTGGAGTGGGCATGTCCCTCTACAGAAGGAAAAGAAACGGTCAGAAAATATTACGGGGACGATGTTTGCAACTATGTTTGGCGTTTTGGGGATACGTTTTGACTATTTCTACTTGTCCTCGAAGATCTGCCTGTAGGAGGGCATGCCCGACCTAATGATACCTGGGCCTGTTGAGGATTTGTTTTGAGGGCGAAGTTGGGCCCAAATCGATTGACATTGGGCCTGGAACCTGTCCCACAGAGAAGGCGACTGCTGAGACAGCTCCCGGGGAGCCCGAAAGTATGCCAGAAGAGGCGTTCCAGCAACCCCGGAGGAGGCCAACGTCATCGAGCTCCTCGGGGCTTTGTTATGCTTTTGAAGGTAGCAGGCTGATGACGAAACTGGCCCCAGAGGCGCTCTCGAGGGCCCTTGGAATTTGGAGACCAAGATATAGTTGTGGAGGACGATCCATGGAGAGGAAGCATGTTGCCAAATCATTTCCATATGTCTAAAACATGTGTCAAACATGTCTTGAACATGTGAAAAAAAGCTTCAGCCATGTTTAACTCATTTTTCAACATTTCAAACACATGTTAAACTCAATGATGGTACTGTTAGGGTGTCCACTGTCGCGGCGTCCACAACGGTAGGGCCCCGATGATACCAAAATGGAGCCGACATGCGGCCAAGAAGCTTATCTGGTACGGTCCGAAGTTCCAACTCGTCTCTGACGCCGGTGGGAAGCCCTCTGGGGGGCAAGCCTCTGGGGATTGGACGCGGCCGAGCGGCGGAATGGCGGATGCCTCTGGGGGAGGGGAAAGGGGGCGGGGGCTGGAGCCTTGTAAGGAGCTCCCACGGTTCATTCTCACACGGCCTTCAGCCTGGTGGGCGTGCGGAGTCAAGTGGCTTGCGCCACACCCCAGGAGGGCTCTTCGGGGCATCCGAGGGACTTCTTCGGAGCTCCTTGCGAGGGGTCCTTGGAGGGGTCCGTGTCTACCTGGAGCCGTCTTGGGACGGTCATGACGCCTCTTGGAAGTTATCTTGGGCTACCTTGTGCGATCTAGGAGGCTACCTTGGGCTTTTCGTGGTCCTCTTGGGGCAACATTGGACCACATTGGCCGCTCGAGCCGCTCGCGGAAGAGCCCGTTCAGACCCAAGGAGAGGGGGTAAGTCTCCTCCACATGAACGTTGGACGAACTAACTCCCTTACCACCTACACCCAACGGGCTGGCGGGATTCGTCAGAGTATGTCACAACAGCGCATCACAGACATGTCAGAATAAGGAATGTGTGTATCTCGCTCTCTCTCTCTCTACTTCTAACCAGGTTCCTGAGTTCCTCAAGTGGAATATTTCGGAGATGCTTCGAATCCCCTGGAGGCTCCTAGAACCTGGGGAACTCTTGGCCACTCCCTCCACCCTCCTCCGCCCTCCTTCTCGTCCCTTCTTGTTCGTCCGGCATCCATCTTCCCTCCTCCTGAACACCGCCATCCAAATCGAGCAAGGGGTGCAGCGAGACCTTCGTGGGGCCGAGTCGGAACATCCCCTGCTGTATCCGCGTGTCCGTGGTCACTCCGTCCTCCTCCATCATCTTGCTCTTCCTTTGTCCTCCTCCCCGATCCATGTTCAACTTCCTTCAATCGAACCTCCAAGAACCAACTACCCTGTACACGCCGTCAGAACTCCCCACCCCCCTAAGAGCTCACTACAACATGTTGGAGCCTGGCTCCCATTCCCCACTTACCCCTCCCTCACCGAAAAATCATCACCCTCACCCTTCGTTAACGAGGTATCTGGTATCCGGAGGTCCTCCAGAAGCCCCTGGAGCCCTCCGGGGGAGCCTGGAGGCCCCCATGGAATCTATCTCGAAGAAGGGAAAGACATAAACATAGACTTTTGGTGCTCCGCGCGCATTTCTTGGATCCGCGCTGGACCCCCTCCCTGTTTATGCAGTTTTTTCTTCTCTCACTATTCTGGATGTCCCCCCCTCAGCCCCTCCCCCCGTTCCCCCTCCTGGGTGGGGGGCAAGGCAGATGGTGGACGTGGCCCTGAAGCACCACAGGGCCAGACTCCAGGACTGGAGGGGTGGGGCTCGCGTGGCGCACATCGGCATCCCTCGACGGTCTCCACTCGGAGGAGGAGGAGGAGGAGGACGAGGAGGAGGAAGAGGAGCAGGAGAAGGGAGGCGGACCTTAATATTCTTTGTTTTTTGGGGGGGGCTTCCTGTGTAGCCTCAGTGGCCACAGCTGCACGCGGCTTGCAAAGCTGACCAAGGCCCGCCCCGCGAACAGGTCCAGGTCGTGAAGGCCCGCCCCGCGAAACGCCGAGTTGTATAGACCCGGTCGTGCTCCGGAATCCGGCCGTTTCGAATTCGAGGGCCCATCGACGGTGCGGTCGGCGACGCCTCGTCGCTTCCAGGTTGCTGCTGACCAGGTGTTGTCCCTGTGCTCCTCCTCTTGCGACGGGTCTGGGTGGTGGGGGAAAGACGAGGATGCTGAGTGGAGGTGGGGGGGGGAGCGGGAGGTGGAGGAGGAGGAGGAGGATTTTCCTGTCCTCGTCCTCCTCTCTCACTGATGTCGCTTTCTTCTAGACTGCAGCATTTCCACCAGCCGGCGGCAGTTGGAGCGAACGCTCCAGGGGTCGCCTGGCTCTTAAGTGGATCACCCCCCCAGGGCCGACCGGCCCTGGCGGGGGGAGTGCAACGTTCGACGAAGTTTCGTGCCTGCAGTGCTTTAGTGGTCCAGGAGGAGGAGGAGGAGGAGGAGGAGGAGGAGGAGGAATAAGTAGGAGGAGGAGGAGGAATAAGTAGGCGAAGGGGAATGAAGATGAGGACGATCACGAGGGGGGGATGGGGGAGACACCCCTGAAAACCGATGCGAAGTTCGGCTTGGAGTTCGCTGAATGCTCTAAGTCGACATCAGAGGTTGATGGTGGGGGCTCGGGTAGTCGTGGCTCGGGTTTCTCCCTTATCACCCTCTTTCTTTTTGCCTGAATCCTTGCTCTCACCCTGCAATGTGCAAGCCCCGGGTAGGTTCCCCAGGGTCACACCAGATCGACGGATCAAGAGCGAGCACATAAGCAGACCGGACCTGCTCACTGGCCCCTACATGTTGCTTTGGCGCGGTGGCGCACGATTTCTGGACAGCGCCCAAGAGACGTTCGTTGCCTCTCTTGTGCTTTGCAGTGTGACGGTGCCTGGCCGAGACATCCAGGACCTACTAACAGCGGTGATCGAACTCGGCCAGAGAGGGGCCCCCCTGCAGGGCGATCGATGAAGGGTGCTTGCCCGTAAGCTGCGGACGCAGAGTTACTCCAACCACTACCGGGCCGCGCTTCTTGTTGCAGAAAGAGAGAGAGAGAGAGAGAGAGAGAGAGAAAGAGAGAGAGAGAGAGACAGAGAGAGAGGGGCTTGCATGTAGTCCCCCATACGCCTCATGTCTATCCTCCTGTTCAGCACCATCCCTCCTTTCTCCTCCCTGCTCAGCGGCGCGTCGCTCCTTCCCTCCTCCCCCCACCCAGTCCTCACTCCTCATGTCTGGTACCAGAGGAATGCCACGAGGTTGGAGCGAGCAGGTTTTACGAAACTGGACGCCCCTTGTTACCTCGGGAAGCCCCTTGAGAAAGGGGGGCACACACACGAGGCAGGTGCTCAACCCCGGCTGTAACTGCTGCTGGAATGCTCGTCGGGAAATGGTCCTACGGTCCTACAGTCAACCCATCTAGCAAGGATGCGCGATAAGGATGCAAGGGCGTTGGACACCCCTTTCGAAGCTTGTCGAGCGGGGCGCGGCCAACGACAGAGGCGAAGCATGGACCGAGGAGGCGAGGATGCAAGGGCACCCCTGGGAAAGTTGATCCTTACGATGCGGGTTGACTGTACCCCCTCCCACCTGTCCCCTCCCTTCCCTCCAGACTGGCCCCGCAACCCCTCCACAGTCCAGCCGCCGAAGAGAGGCACAACTGCATAAGGCAAAAGAGTCAGCTTCTGGATATCCGTGCGGATTCCTGGGGTCGGCGCTGGACCCCCCTGGCGTCGCCTCTGGCGCCGTCCGTGGCGGTATGCGCTCCAGCGTGGGGGGTTTGCGCAGATCCCAGAAATCCGCGCGGCCCTCCGCGCGGATAAAGTCCCCCGCGGAGGGCCGCGGAATTGTTGTTGTTCCTCACCCTTGGCTGAAGTCGGGCCTGTCCCCCTACAGCAGGAATGTTCAAAAATAGCAGAAAATAGTCTGGGGATTATTTTTGGGGTATTGTTGAGCATGTTTTGGGTATTTTTTGAGCTTTTTTGGGTTCGTCCGAAATCTCCCTGTAGGGGGACAGGCCCGACTTGACCCTTGGCTCACTCAGCTCGCGCCCCTTTCGGCACACAAGCGCTGTGCGCCCGCAGGGCAAGCCGTCCCCCGACCCGTACCTCAAGGTCTGGGACGCCCAGAGCCAGGTCTCGGCCGCTCTCTCCTGGGACGCCGGCAGCGCGGAGCTGTGGCTGGAGGCGGGCCCGACGGCGGCGGCGGCGGCGACGACCGCGAGGACGACGACGCCGAGGGCGCGGACGGCAGCGACGGGGACGGCGGCCGGCCACGACGGCGGCGACGGCGGCGGCGGCGACGACGACGACGAGGAGGCGGACGACGGCTGTCGGCGGCGGCGGCTCTGGCGGCGGCAGCGGCGACGGCGACGGCGGCAGCAGCGACGGCGCGGGGCCGAGTGCCCGCGCAGGCCGCCCGCCTCGCAGCTCGGCCGCCCCCCTCCGCGCTCGGCCAGCAGTCGCCCCTGTGGCGGCGGGGTCGCCGAGGCGTGCGGCCTCGAGATGCACCTGCCGCTCAGTGGAGGGCTGGCTGAGACACCTCAGGGGACCGGGAGGACGGGTTGAGCCACCGGCAGTGGGACTTCGGGGGCCTCCCTCGTCGCCACGGCTGGGCGCAGCTGGGGAAATCGAGGCGTGGGGCCCCGGGAGGGGTCCGGGGGCGGATTTGGAGTTTTGAGCCGCTAGTATCTCAGCTCGCCATGTTCCGAGACCCTGCGGCAGCAGTGCCGCCCTCCTCCTTTTTCAGCCCAATCTCTGGGGGTGGCCAGCGCCCTGGACGGTATGGTCACCCCCATCCCACCACGCTCGCCCAGGGGAGCGCGTGGTGCGTTGGCCCGTTTCACTCTGGGATTGGGCGGGGGGGGGCGCTCCAGTTAGCACAAGCGCAGGGCCAGGATGCAGAGAAGGCCACGTGAGCACTGGTTTGGGAGGCCCGCGCGCGTGTCGGCGCCCGTGGCGCCGCTCGCGACGGGCCCATGGCCGACCCGACCAAGCACAGTCATATCTTCACCTAGCCCCCCCCAACAAAATCGGGGCTTCGCCGCTGGGCTTCGCTGGCTGGTACCACGAAAATCAGGAGGGGAAACAACACACAGACACAATTATCGTCGATTCCCCAGAACATGTGGGAAAATATGGGACTTGGGGGTGAAGACAAAACAAATAACATATGGGGAATTATCGGGAATCCCGTTATTTGTGTGTATTTATTTCTGTGTCCCAGGGCCCCTTCGAAAAAAGTGCGAATAAGGGTGAGGGAGCGGGTGGTCGTTCGCAGTTTGCGAGGGTCGGAGAAGCACGCGAAAATGATCGCCGTAGGCGCCTTCTGTAAACACGTAATGCAAAGAGCCCTCTGCAGGCGCTGATTTTTCTGATCGGAGCAATGTGGGTGGGTCGTTGGTGGATCGTGGGTGGGTCGCGGGGTTCAGCGGAGTGGGTCGCGGGTGGGTCACCGGGGGAGTCGCGGGGTGGATGGGTCGGTCGCGGTAAGTCGCGGGTGGGTCGCGCGGTAGGTCGCGCAGTGGGTCACGCGGTGGGTCGCGCGTTGGAGCGCTTGGCGGGTCGCTGGTGAGTCGCGGTTGGGACGACGGCAGCCATCAACACGAATCCGCACAGCAGAACCCTTCCACAGTCTAGCATCCATTGATGGTGTAAGACTTTGCGTCCCCCTCACTCTGACATAGTTTTTGCCCCAAGACCGTATGGAGAACGTGCCACGCGTCAGTCAAGGATATTTGCTCGTACACTCGCGCGCATGTTGTCCTGGAGACGGTGGTAGGTCACGTTGGTGTGGCCAGAATTCCATATGTTGTGAGGGTACGTGTCCATACACACCTTCGCGAATCTGTACGCACGCACGCACCTCTGGACTTGCTTGGCGATGCGTCGTGGCTTCAGTCACTTCGCCTGAACACCCGGCCTGTCGCTGCAGGCAGGTGATCAGAGATGGCGAAATTCGTATATTGCCGGCCATTCCTTGAGTCCTCCGCCTTTTGCTCCCTTCGGTTATTCCTAGCATGGCTCTAGTCTTTTGAGTTTACGCTGTGGCTCACGGAGCTTCGATGCGAGCTGTGTCGATTTCAGCCATGCGTGCCATGACAAAAACATGTACGCACGCACACATTCTGGAAACACCGGTTGACATGCTACCGAAGTGTGCTCTTTCTCTTCCTCATGCCACCTTGCCCCTGTTTCCGTCCACTTCCAACGGAGATCAGCGTCCACTCGAAAGGTGTTGTCAACGAGCGCAGCTTCCTTGTCCAAGGGCTTGTCTTGTACCCCTCTTCTGGAGCGGACCACACGGGAGGCAGCTGCGGTCGGGGGTAGAGTTCTTGCGTGTGGGTGGGCGGCCAGAGTCGGGCGGTGGTTTCGGGCGGTGGCTTGATCGCGAGCCAGCAAGGCATTCCAGGATCTCCCTGGGCCGGGGGGAAGAGAAGCGATGCCAGTACCACCAGAGCGGGCCACCGCCAGCCAGAGGAGGTCCACGAGACCTCCCCCCGAGCGGGAGGGCCGGGGACGCCTCGAGCGCGAGAGGGAGACCCCCCCCCCCGTGCTCCCCTCGCGTCTCCGCCCTGGTGGTGCTGGCGTCGCCCTCCCCTGTTCCTCGGGGGGGGGAAGGAGGAGGAGGAGGAGGAGGAGGAGGCGGAGATAAGGGAGGAGGGAGGAGAGGAGGAGGAGGAGGAGGGAGGAGGAGAGGAGGAGGGAGGAGGAGGAGAGGAGGAGGGAGGAGGAGGAGGAGGGAGGAGGAGGAGGAGGAGGGGGGAGGAGGAGGAGGAGGAGGGAGGAGGAGGAGGAGGAGGCCGAGGCGGGCAACCTGACGCTCACGCTCGCGGGCCTGATGCGGGCGATCAACGAGGGCGACCTCCTGCACGACTGCCTGGGCTACTGGGCCCACGCCCTCGAGCTGGAGGCCGCCGCCTCGGCGGGAGGCCTGGCGCGCGGGGGGGGGATGCGGGCGTGCTTCGGCATGGGCCGTCGTGAAGCAGGAGGGGGAAAGAGCACAGACAAATGTAAGCTTCGACTCCTCGGGGAAGATGGGAAGTGGGGGGATGACGAAGACACCGAACATGGGGGAGGATATGGAGAATCCTGGGATCTGTGCCCATCTACTTGTGGGTCCCTGGGCCCCTTGGACGAAGTCGATGGCGATGGCGGCCTTGCTGACATACTGACGATCTTGATGCGCGTGCGATGGCGGTAGCAAGCATGCTGATGCAGGTGATGATGAACGCGATGCCGCCGATGGTACCGACGCCTACGTACGCTGGCTTCGACGCAGCTGGCGACGGAGAGGGTTGTGGTGGTAGTGACTGTAAGTGGTGCTGTTGACGTAGATTTCGACGTTGACGTCGTTGGCGACAACGGTGATGAGCACGTTTGGGCAGGCGTAGCACGTCATGGGGTTCTGAGCGTACACTGCCGACCGGGGGAGCAGCTGAGACCCCTCCCTGGCCAATCACTTCGATCAGGTGAGGAGCGGCCACGGCAGAGACGGGCGAGAAGCGAGCCCCGTTCCACGTAATCAAGCCTTGCGCACGCGTGCCCCCTCCTGTTCCTCCCCCCCTTCTGCTGCTGCTCCTCCGCATGCGCAGGCGAGGCCCTCTCCTGCTGCTGCTGCTGCTGCTGCTCATCATCCCCTTCCTCCTATAGCACTATAGCACTATAGCCCTATAGCCCAATGGCCCTATAGCCCTATAGCCCTATAGCCCTATAGCTTTATAGCCCAATAGCCCTATAGCCCTGTATGCCTATAGCCCTGTAGCCCAATAGCCCTATAGCCTATACCTTTATAGCCCTATCCCCGATAGCCCTATAACCTCATAGCACTATAACCCTATAGCCCTTTAGCCCTATGGCCCTATAACTCTATATGCCCAAAGCCCTATAGCTCTATAGTATTATAGCCCTATAGCCCTATGGTTGTATATCCCTATAGCCGCGTAGCCCTATATACCTATTGCCCTATGGCCCTGTAGCCCTATAGCCCCACAGCTTTTGAGCCCCATAGCCTTATAGCCCTACAGCCCTATAGCCCTGCAGCCCTATAGCACTATGGCCCTATAGACCTATAGCCCTATGGCCGTATAGCCATACAGCCCTGTGGCCCTATAGCACCATAGCCCTACAGCCGCACAGCCCCATAGCCCTATAATCCTAAAAGAACTCTGATTGTTTTTCCCTCAGGTATGGTATATAGATCTATGCTGAGTCGCCCCAGTAGCAGGCGGTGCCTGAACAGATCGAATTCGGGCCGCACCGAGGAACATCTTCATGCAGTAAAGATTCTGACCCATCATCGCAGGCCTCTGCGGTGCTATATTCTCCTTCTGCGCCCTGTCCCCTCCTCCTCCTCCTACCTGCTTCGTTCGCCCCCCGCTGCCCCCAGCACGCGGGCGGGAGCGCGCACTGCGCTGTCGTGGTGCGGGGCTGGTTGAGTCCAACCGGTCAGCGACGATGAGCACTTTTTGGGGTCAGCGGCTCCGAGGCAACGGACAGGGAGCGGAAGCGGCGTCCGGGTCACGGTATGGGGCGAATTTGCAAGACAAGTCGCCGCCAGCCAGAGTCGGCGGACAAAGCTCGCACCGGCAAGACAGGCTCGCAGGCGACAGTGAACACGCAGAGAAGCGAAAACATCCAGCAGCGTTGCGGACAGAGGCGTGCAGGGCACATTGGCACCATCCGTTCACATTGGACCACCGCCAGCACAATCTCCAGCGCAACCACCCAGACGCGCACCGCGCTGCGTGCAACATTTACACACTTCCGAAGTTGGCTCTCCTAAGAGGGTCAAGCATTGCAGCGAAGCTGGCTTTACATTTCTCAGTGAGTATCGAGTGTATGCAAGCAGCGGCGAGGCATCGAGCTATGGTGACAACGGCCATTCATCGGCCTGTGCAGCAGCAGTGCTGCAACTGCATCACAGCGACGAGGTCAGCCAGGAGCAAGAAGAAGTACAGTCACAAGCCCTAATAAGGACGCGCGACTTTGCTCAGGGTACCCTGGCGTCCTTGCTCTTCCTTGCTCTTGCGTCCTTGGGGGTTTCGTCGTCCGCCGCCCCAAAAATCCCACCTTCGGCTTCCAAGGGTCTTGAGTCCTTGCCGCGCGTCTGTATTAGGGTTTTTCACGATATGCGCCAAGAGCAGCAGCTGGCTTCGCGTACCCTTCGCCGGAGGGGGCCTCTGGTGCGCGGCCTCCAAAGGGGACCAGGCCCGAGATCGCAGGCCGCAGCTGTCACACCGCACGCAGAGATCGGAGATCGGCGAGCCGGGCGCGAAGGATTGCAAAAAAAACCCTTGGTTTGCAAAAAAAACCCTTCTTTTTTTGCAATCCTTTTTTTTTTTTTTTGTTGTTTTTTTTTTTTTTTTTTTTTTTTTGCAATCCTTCACTCTTGGCCAGGGCTATGATGCTCCCGCCGCAGCCGACTTTCGCCTTGGTCACCAGGAAGAATGTCGAGCGCCCCCAAAACGTGCCGAAACGCGCAAGGGCCTTCACGCGTCGGGCCCTGGGAGGCACTCGCCCGACACTGTTTTTCGACACTCTTTTGATACTCTTCTGTGTGCTCGAAGTTATTTCTGGGATGTGGTCCTCAAGTACGATGGGAGCAACATAAGCCCAGGGTAGATCTTGCGTGCGATGCCGACCGACCTGGGCCCCTTTCCTGCTGTGCGCTCTGGCCAGAACCTCTAGGCGGCGTCTGGCCGTGGCAGGGCCTAGACACCTCCATCCTTGACTTTCCATGTCCGGGTCTGCGACCTGGACGACGATGTCGAAATCGACGACGGCGGCAACCACGGTGACGACGACGACGACGACGACGACGACGACGACGGCGACGACGTCGACGACGACGACGACGACGACGACGACGACGACGACGGCGGCGGCGGCGGCGGCGGCGGCGGCGACCGGCTGGAAGCCCCTGGAGACCCCCCTGAGGCCTCTCGCGATCTCTGGGTGCCCTCCGAAAGCCTTCCGAGGTGCCTCCGTGGGCCTCCGGCGACTACGACGACGACGACGACGACGACGACGACGACGGCAACGACGGCGGGGGCGCTGGTGGCAGCGCCAGCAGCAGCGGCGGCGGCCTGGCGAGCCGAGGGGGCGGGCCGGGGCGCGCAGGCCAGCGGCCCCTGGCCTCGCGGCTGCGGGGCTGGCTCAAGCAGCTGGCGGCCGCGCCGGAGCCGGAGATGAAGACGAGCGTCCGGACCCGGGTCGGCCCAGGGGGATCTGGTTGACCCAAGACGGGGTCCAGGGAAAAGACGGTGGTGTAATAGAAATGTGGGGTTGCGATCGAATGCGGGCGTGCAGCACGTTCTGGTGCGCAAGTGTGCTGCTGGGTTGTTTTTGCTTGTTTCACATCAGATGCATTGCAACGCAATGCAATACTCAGGCGCAATACATTTGCAATACAATCTGCCCCAGACCTAATTCTGGGGGGATCGAACGATTTCGACATGCGCGCGCGAGATGCCCGTGTGGTAGGATTTGGTGAACATGTTGAAACTATGATGTTTTTGCTTGTGGCTTTTTCGCGTTAAGACTCGTATGCAAACTCGCGAGCGCAGGCTTTGTTTGAACATTCTTCGTTGCGAAAAGATGGTTGTTTCGTCTCTTCTCGTTATTCTAAATTTTGAAGTGCTTGCGGCATTTAATATTTTCGACTGGATGTCCAGCGTGCGCGCGCGACGACGCGCGCGTGCGCACTGAGTCATTATTGTAGCGCGGGTGTTTTAATACAGCTGTTCATCTATGTCTACCCATAAATATATACATATACATATATAAATGTATGTGTGTGCATGCTTGACTATATACATGTTGTTTTATATCAACAGCCAGTGCGCGGTAATTTGTCCGCGGAGGATGATGGGGGGAACCGATACCAGCGTGCGTGGATGTGCAATAGTTGCAGGTTGCGCAATCTATGGCGTGCAGTTCGCCCTGCCGAACTTGAAGTTGCCAACTCCACTGCACGTGCAGTCATCCCACCCACCCACCTTTAGTTGGGCTTGCAAAGCCAATGCGGCGGCGATTGCGCTGGCAGTTCGGCGCTGGCTGGCGCAACGCCCGGTCGCGCTAGCGCGCGTACTCTCGCGCGCAGCTGCCAGCTTGTTCAGCGCGACCAGCGCGGCCGCGGGTGGGCTGACCGCTGGACATTTCTGAGCGGGCACCTCAGTGCCAGTCGGCGACTTTGGCGGCCTCGTTATCATGGCAGTGTCGGCGACGGTAGGCGCGGTGATGATAGTAGCTATGCTGGTTGCGATAATGCCGAGGATGACGGCATCCTCGCGTGGGCGATGAAGGTTTTTAGTGGAATTCGACATGCGCGCGCGGACGACGCGCGAGAGTGGCCCGCATGATTTTCTTTGTCACGGATCGTGCCCCCCCCCCCCCCCAGCGCGCGCAGAGGCGTTCGAGTGCTTCCAACAGGCGGCGCGAGAGGCTCTTTAGAGAGAGAGTTGCAAGAACACGTGGGACAACCCATGGTGGTGTCAAGAGTTCCCAAAACCGCAAGCGCATGCGTTTTTGCACATTTGCGTTGCCAAACCCTGTGTTTTTACATGCATTCGGCACCGTCGGTTTTGACATCCGGACGAAACCCTCGGTTATTAAACGGTTTAGGCATGCGTGCGTGACGACGTGCGCCTGCACACTTCGTCACAGATGTTGCAAGGTATTCCTGCGACAGCACGCGCGTTTGGTCGTTCTTGCGACTCCGACACGCGCGCGCGAGAGGCCTGCGTGGTAATATTCAATCGCTTCGCTCACTCCGCCGGCCCATGTTGCATGATCGCTACTGCTTCGCCGTGGGCCCAGGGCCATTGTGGCGCCGCCGAGGAGGAGGAGGAGGAGGAGGAGGAGGAGGAGGAGGAGGAGCTGGAGGAGGAGGAGGAGGCGGAAAATGAGGGTGGGGAAGGGGAGGGGAGGAGGAGAGGCTGAGAAGGAGAGGGGGGGAACGAAGATAAGTAGAAGGAAGAGGAGGAGGAGGAGGAGGAGGAGGAGGAGGAGGAGGAGGAGGAGGAAAGAGGGTAAGAGGAGGAGGACGTAAGAGGAGGAGGAGGAGGAGGAGGAGGAGGAGGAGGAGGAGGAGGTGGAGGTGGAGGGGGAAGGGGCGGAGGAGGAAGCCTCTCGTCGGCATCTTGTGTTGCTCTTGGGGCCAAGCAGGGTCGTCGTCGATGCTTCTTTGGGAGGCATCTTGAGGTCTTTTGAGAAGCCGTTCGGGGGCGCCTGGGAGGCATTTTTGAACTTCTGGGGCCTCTTTTGGGCCTCCTTGGGGCCCCCTGGGGCCTCTTAGGGGCCTCTTGGCGGCATCTTGGGGCCTCTTGGGGGCCTCCTGGGGGCCTCGCGGGGCCTCCTGGGGCCCTCTTGGGACGGAAGGCTCGAGTTTTCGGTTCGTGGTCCCCCTCTTTGGCCCCTCTTGGGGCCGTTTTGGGCCGTTTGGGGCTCCCCTTGGGCCGTCTCGTGTCCCTCTTGGGCCCTCTTGGGGCCCTCTTGGAAGCCTCTTGGCCCGTCTTGGCCGCTCTTGGGAGCCTCTTGAGCCGCCTTGGAGCATCGGATGGCCGAAAGGGCGACAAGGCCAAAATCCTTGCAAAAACCATAGTAACATTGATGATTTTGTCCTGTCGGGCCCGTTTGTGAGGCCTCTTGGAGGCCACTTGGAGGCCTCTTGGGCCGTCTTGGGGTCATCATCGGCGTCTTGGAGCGCTCTTTGGGCGTCTCGGGGGCCTCTTGGACCATCTGGGAGACCTCTTGGGGCCCTCTTGGACCGATTCGGAGCCCTCTGGGGCTCCGAAAAAGAGTTCCGGCATGCTTGAACAGGCCGGGGTACTTTTCGTCCGGGGACCCCAGGGCCCGCCCCGCGCGCGATTTACAAATATTGTTTACCAGCTACCAGAGATCTTAGCACGCCTCTGGCCCGTTGGGCCGGCGAATTTCACGGACATGGTGAGCGGCCATTTCTTCTTTGTGGAAAAATCGCAAGAGCGTTGGCGTTGGTTTCTTCTTGAACATTCTTGTTGCGAAACCATGCGCGTGTGTGTGCTTATGTTGTCGGGGGGCCACAAATTTCACATGTTTGCGACACCCAGCTTTTGTTTTTGAGGACGTTGGCATGCGCGCGCGACGATGCGCGCGTGTGTTCTTCGCTCCGTTTTCTTTTCGCGGGCAAGTGACTGTTGGAAAATGCTGAGTTTTGATGAACAGGTGCGCATGCGTAGTTTTGTTGTGCAGAGGATTACGAGGAATGCGGAATGCCGGTTTGGCTTGGGCGATTTGAGTCCATATTTTGGATGGGCGATCGGCCTGAACCATATGACACTTGCAATAGGGGAAAGGGGACCATTAAGTCCTGGGGGAGGAGGCTCGATCCGACCATTCTTCCAGAAAAGAGAATCTAGGTTGTGCAATCTACGTGGTGCAAGGTTTTCTGTGCGGCCTATGTGGTGCAATATAGATTGCGTAACCGACTGGTGCAATCTATGCTGTGCACCCCTTGTTGTCCAACATAAGTGCTGCAACCCATGCGGTGCAAACTACGCAGTACAATCTACGTGGTGCAATGTATGCGGTTCTATTGTTTTTCGTTTGCAGCGACATGTTAAATCAAGTGCTTGCACAATCGTCGCGCCCAGCCACCCGCAACCTGGTTTGAAAACCTTCTTGCGGTGGCGATTGATATGACTGCTTGTCACGGTAGCGCACGCAGGCTCGCGCGCAAAGCGGCCAGCTAGTTTGGCGCGACCGACGCGGCCGCGTTAGCGCTGACCGCTGCGCACTTCCCAGCGCGTCTCGCAGGCCGCGTTGACGCGCACGCATTCCATTGCGAATCGGTGACTCGGGCGGCCGCGTTGTTATGGCGACGTCGACAACGGCAGGCACTTGGATGATAGTAGCGATTCCTTGTGAAAGCGAGGACAATAACGACGAACAAAGCAATGAAGGAACCGATGCTTACAGCCGGGGTCCCGAAGAAGGAACCCTTGTCGTTGGAGAGGGGCTCCGCGTGCCTTACATGTTTCACAGCTTGCTTCAGGTTTCCTTTATGTTTTCGATCGGAAATCGAAGTTTAACTTATGGAAACACAGAAGGGCCTCGTTCCTTATTTAGGGTTCCTCAGGTCAACGCCCCTACTGTATCACGCGGCTGTTGGTGAAGGTTTCCACTCGTCGGTGGCGAAAGAGCCGAACGGGTATCGACATGCTCGCGCGGCCGACGCGCGCGAGGGGCCCGCATGGCACGGCTTGGTGGGCACGTGAGCGAAACAGGCCCGCTTGACCGAATGTGATGCACATGTTGGGGGAAACACTTTTTTGCCAAAAATCTGCAGCAGCGGGGGCGCCGATTTCTTTGAAAGAGAACATGCGGTTAAACAGTGTGGGTGCTCACGTTCATCGGACACTCGATCTTGACATCACTGTGAAACTGGAGGTTGGTGAAGGATTTCGGCATGCGCGCTCGACGACGCGCATGTGTAGATGTTGTCCAATGTGTTGCACAGTTTTTTTATGATAATGGTGGGTTGTTGATGAGCGAGCGTGCGCGCATCGTGAGATGTGTCAGGGGTGAAGGGGGTCGATGTTGGCTCGGATCGGATTGTCCGATTTAAAATTTAGAATGTACGATGTTGCAGAATCATACGTTTACCTACATCCCCAAGGGGTGCCGGTAAACCCGGCACTTGGGGGACGGTAGACCCGAAAGTCTTTTCTTGAAGTTGAGAATCGGAAGTGGCGACAAGACGGCGACGAGACGGCGACGGGGCGGCGACGGCGGCAACATAGCCGCCAGACCGACAGACAAGACCAGTTCAGTAGACGAGAAGCAAGAGCCCTTACGTGCAAACATTGCTTGGGGAATGAACAGAGAGTCCCAAATAGGGTCGGCCCAAAGGGGGAAGGGATGCAAGAGGAGAAAGGCGCTAGAACTGGAGATGAAGAAGAGCGTCTGGACCACGGCCAGCCCCGGGTGAAGGAGGGAGGCGGATTGAGATGATCGATGTCTAGACCACGTAGGTTGGCAGGTAAGGGAGCGACAGAGTTTTGCAAAGGAATTCGGCGCACAGACGGCCAGCATCTCGATGAAGGAGAGGGCCCTCAAGTTGTACAGCAGAAGCAAGCATACGTAGGGTAGAGCATGGCAGCGAGCTGGAGCATGGAGAATAATATAATTGCTTGGTAGTTGTGTTGAAAAGTCCGTTCCGCCCTCGCCACAGCAAGACAGCCTGAGCCATCCACGACGTCCGCCGCCATCTGGCCTTTGGCAAGTAGAGGGGACACGTTTCTTGGACAAAATTGCAGGAGAACGACTCGACGATGGCACTGTCCAGCAAGATTAGAAGCATGTGCGTCGCGAAAGTACTTTCACATGCACGGTGAAGATGAGCGTCGAAGCCAGGGTCAGCCCTCAGAGAAGGAGGTGGACCTTGTGAATGGATGGTTCAGAAAATGTCGATTCGGAGGTCTAGGTCCGATGATGGGAGGAGCGACGGAGGGCGAAATGACCGCGCGAGAATTTACAGTAGGCATTTCAACTACGAAATTGGCCTACCAGCAGGTGTCCCACAGAGGTTTCGCATCCCTCCCTTAGGAGCTCTGGGGTACCTTAGTGACCTCACCGATTGACGAAGGATGCGCCCGACGATTTCCAACAGCAGGGCTTCTCATCGTATGTGTCTGTTGTGTTTAAAGGGCATTCACAGCAGGCCTAGAGGTTGACACCAACACCAATTTCGGCGGTGTGCCTCCCCCGAGGGAAGAGGATCCCGATCTCGGAGATGGTGGTAATATTCTGGCCTCCAAGGTGGCCGAAATATTTTTCCACCAACACCGAAGTCTAGGATCACCTTCCCCCTGTGGAGGCAACCCCCCTTTCAGATGCAACTCCTGGGAGGTCAAATTCTGTTTTCGCCCTGGTCCGAAATTCGGCTTAATCCAGCTAAATCCCGCTTAATCCCGTTTAATCCAGCTTAATCCCGCTTAATCCGAGGCCCATTCCGGCGTAACAGCTCCCAAATGGGGCTTAATCCTCCTTAATCTTTCCGACGAAAACCTCCCAGCAGTTGCCTCCTAACCCCCTGTGTTGGTGCTGGTGCCCATTCCCAGGCCTCCAAATTCACAGCTTCTGGTCCTGCCTGCCTTGGCCTCCGGGAGGCCTCCGGGAGCAGACGGGCGGAGGGGGAGGCCCCGGAAGTCGAGGAGGGCGCAGGAGGTCGTGGGCGCTCGTGGGCGCCCCGGCGTCGCACGAAGCGGAGCGTCCCCAGACCTCCTCGCGTCGTGAAAAAATCACGACGGGAGGTTTTTCGCTATTTTCGGCCTCCGGGGGCCCTTACCGGGCCTCGGGACCGTCAAAAAACGACTCAGGACGAAGAACCGGTCCCGGGGAAAGGGTCCAGACCTCTGGGGGTCGACGTTGTGAAAAAATCACGACGTCGGGGGTCTGGGTCCCCCAGGCTTCTGGAGCGCCCTGAGCCCCGCACCCACTACTGAAATAGACTGCTTTTGGGGCGGGGAGCCCCAAATCCCAATCTTCTTGGCGGCCCGGAGCTCTTGCCGGTTCCGTCTTGCCGTTTTTGTCGCCGGTTCCGACGCCGTTTTTGTTACCGGTTCCGTCGCCGTTGTTGGACCGGTTCCGGCTCCGGCTCCAATCCTGGAGCCGTCTTTTTGCCGTTTCCACTCGCCGTTTTTTTGCCGTTTCCATTTTCAAGGGACATTTTTCTGGAAACGGTGAAAAAACGGCCCTGCCGTTTCCGGGGCCCACAAAGCCCCGCACCCACTACTGAAATAGATTGCTGTGGGGCGGGGAGCCTAAAATCCCAAAAGTCTTCTTGGCAGCCCGGGAGGGCTGTCAGACGGGTATCATTCCCTGCGAGTGTCCCAGTGTTTGGGCTCGGGGCGAGCGGCCTTCTGCATCTGCTGTGGGGTTAGAGCTGCCTGGCGATCCGCGCTTGGCTTGTGAGCCAGGGGTGCGACCTCGCGGCAGAACAGCCAGTCCCTCTCGACTGTCGAAACCGATGGTACGGATGGGCGACTTTCCCGAGGGTACCCTCCTCGGTCCATCCTTTGATCCCTTTCGATTGCCAGCCCCGCACGAAAAGCTTCGACGTGGGCGTCCAAGGTCCTTGCATTCTGGTCGTGCATCCTTCCTTTCAGTTTTGACTGTAAGGGATGTGTGGTCCGTGCCCATGTTAGGGAGTGCTGCAGAGGTGCATAGGCACAGTCAGTTGGCCTAGGTAGGGTGAGTGGGCAGCCGATTTTGTGGACCCTCGTCATCTTGACGTCTTGTTGCCGAGAGTTCGACACGTCTCGGCATCGAAACGGTTAGAAAGCGGAGGGCGACGACGACGAGCAGGACGACGACAGGGAAGAGGGCAGCTGGCCTGCGCGGCCCCTTCACGGCCAGGCCCGCGTGCCAAGGCATGCGGGCAGTTCAGGTACCGTTGAAGTGAAGATGACAGGCGCCCTTGGCTCCACCTCGCCAGCCTGCGACCCAATCCTGTGGCCCTCCTGGGAGCGCCAGGTCTTTCCCAAGGCCAATGGGTTGCCCGTGGCGGCTTTTCTGGCCTGTCTGGTCTTTCCAGGTTGCGCATGAGGGCGAGATGGAACATCGGAGGCCTCGCATCGCTTCCTCGGCCCCACCTGGCCAGACGACGACCGACGGACCTGAAGCGAGATCTCTCCTGGGGTGTCTCCTACAGAATGTCGAAGCGAATCTTGGGGAAGAACAAAAAATAATCTCGAAGCGAATCTTGCCGAGGCGACGAGGGCGTCCCCAGAGGCCAGAGAGGACCCAAACGCTCCAACCCTCGACCCTCAAGCGACGGCGGCGACGACCACGACCTCGACGACGACATCACGAGGACGACCGTGACCACGACGCTGGTGGCGTTCCCCCCTCCCCCTTCCCCTCCCCCTCCCCCTCCTCCTCCTCCTCCTCCTCCTCCTCCACCACCTCCTCCTCCTCCTCCTTCTCCTCCTTCTCCTCCTCCTCCTCCTCCTCCTCCTCCTCCTCCTCCTCCCATCCTCCGATGGCGCGCCGTCTCCGCGTGGCCCCCACGCTCCTTGGCAGGGAGGCCCGTTCGTTTCCGGGCCCGTCCGCAGGTCCTGTTGCAGGTCCGCGGGGACGCCTGGAAGGCGGTGCAGAGGTGGGCGAAGGACCATAGCCCTGCCACAGGCTTATTATGTTAATCGTTTCGCTCATTCCGCTGGCCCACATTGCCTCGCCGCTGTCGTTTGTCTGGGTATTGTTGTCACTGCGGTGCCGTTGGGCGGCTGGGCTCCTCCTGGAGCGTTTGGGGCTTCTCCTGGAGGCCTCTTGGGCTGTGTTGTGGCGATCGTGTGAGCCTCTTTGGCTGTCTTCGGGCACCAGGAAGCCGAAAAGGCGAAAACGGCAATTTTGTTGAAAAGCGTATGGGAAATCATTGATTTCTGCCTCTTGGCGCTCTCTTGGAAGGCCACTTGGTGGCCTGTTTGGGGGTCTTGTACGCGTCATGGGCCGTCTGGAAGCCATCGCAGGTCTCTCGGACCGATCGTTCGACGATTTCCAATTGGAGCGCTGCCAATTGCCCCAGTGATCGTTGTCAATGCTGTGCTGTTGGGTGGGGCTGTTGATTATCGATTGGCCTTCGGCCCATCCCGCCACCGTGCCTGGGTGGTGAGTCAGAGGCCTCATGGATGTGGAATGGGCTTTCTTGATTGGCCTCTCGGGGGCCTCGGGGAGGCAGTTTGAGGCCTCCTGGGGCCCGTGTTGGGACCTCATGGGGTCTCTTTGGGGCCTCTTTGGGGCCTGTTGGGGCTTTTCGGAGTGCCTCTTGGGGGCCCCTTGGGGCCTCTTGGGGCTGAAGGCTTGTCTTTTCGGATCCTGGTCCCCTTCTTGGGCCCCTCTTCGGGCCGTCTTGGTACCCTCTTGGGCCGTCTTGGGGCGTGTTGGGGCGTCTTGGTGCCCTCTTGGGCCGTCTTGTGCCCCTCTTGGGGGCGTGTTGGGGTGTCTGTGGACGATGTTGGCGGCCGCTGGACCAGTCAGTTCTGGACGTCGCACATGCGAACCATGTACGTCTTCCGACGGGAGTGCGACGATGTTTACCTGCTGGGGCCTTCCTGGAGAGGCTCTTGAGGCGCTCTGGGGGGGCTTTCCCGTGGCCTCCGGGGCCATCTCGAGACCCTCTGGAGCGTCCTGGGGCGATCTTTCGGCGACTCGGGGCTTCTTGGGTCGTGCCAGGGGGCCTCCTGGCTCGCTCCGGGAGCGCCCTGGGGGCAATCTTGGCATCGCTCGGACGTGTGCATGTTTCCGTCGGCGAGGAGCATCGAGGAGCATCCTTGATCATAACTCGTAGAGCTTCCCTTAGCAAGTTATTGCTGGAAGCTTAAGAGTAATTCCGGGGCGCTGGAGAGCTAGTCGGCAAGAAAAATCTCGACGGACCTTTTGCTGACTTTTGGTCGGTTGAAAATTTTGTTCTCGGAATTCCTCAATTCGTTTGAGCGCTAGTATTTTTTCCCGTGATATTCGATCTTATTCCCGCTCGCCATCTTGATCTCAGCTCGATCGGGTACCTTTTACTGCCAAAAAGCACACGGGCGGGATCGGCCGTTTCGAGTCATCTTGATACGCGCTGTCGGTATATTGGAGTTAATTCGAGATACAGGACAGCTATAGAGCTGGTAAGTACGCCTTATCGATTCAAAATGATCAGACGCGTTCGCCTGTTGCATCCAGAGGTCTGAACTCGGTCTGCTAGCCAAGCTAGGTCCGCAAACCTATTCGTATTATTCGAGTCATCCTGACAGGCGCTCTCGGTTTTCTGTTCTTAACTCGAGATATATGACAGCTACAGCCGATACTTACAGAAACCGATTCAGAATCATCAGGCGCGTTCGTCTGTTGAATGCAGAGCTCTCAACTCGGTCGGCTGCCCGATCTAGAATCGCGAAATTATTCGTCTTGTTCGAATCATCTTGAAAGGTGCTGTCGGTTTTCTGTACTTAACTCGAGCTGCAGGGGGGCTACAGTGCTGGTTATCACAGCAATCGATTTGGAGACATCAGGCGCGTCCGCGTGTCGAATCCAGAGCTCGGAACTCGGTCCGCTGCCCGAACTAGATCCGCGAAACTATTTGTATGGTTCCAGTCTTCTTGAGAGGTGCTGTCGGTTTTCTACACTTAACTGGGGCTGTAGGGGGGCTGCAGGGCTGGTAATCACAGGACTTGATTCGGAGACATCAGACGCGCCCGCCTGTCGCATTCATAGGTCTGAACTCGGTCTGATATTCGAGCTGGTTTGCGAAACTACTCGTATTGTTCGAGTTATCTTGAGAGGTGGTCTCGGTTTTCGCACGTAGCTCGGGCTGTAGGAGAGCTACAGAGCTCGTACAGAAGACAATCCAGAAGCGTCGGGGGCGTTGTTCGGCTGTTGCATCGAGAGGTCTGAAACCCCTTGGGCTGAAAAAGTATTCGTTCTCTGCAATTTTTTTTTCGACATTATTGTCAGGAAGCTCTACGAGTCCCCCGGCGGTAAGAAAGGTTGACGGTTTACCGCCGGCGCCCAGTTTGGCGAAACAGCCACGCACGAAACCGAACAAAAATCACAGGGAATGGACGTCCGAGCGATGGCCAGTAATCAGCCGTGCATCACCTGGGCATCGCAAGGGCATCGGGCGGGGTATTTTTCGTCCAGGGGTCCTCAGGGGCCGCCACGCGCGCGCGCGCGACTTAGGAATATTGTTAACCTGTATATTACAGGAGGGCTTAGCACGCCTCTGGCCCGTTGGGCCGGCGAATTTGTGTCAAGCATCAAAACACGAATCGTCATGTCGTTGCCTCTGCCGCTGCGAAGGCCCATGCTGGTCCAGGCTAGCCCGAGGGAAGGGATCGGGACTGGTGAAAACAGCACGACGTCGGAGATCTGCACCTCCCAGGTGCTGGCGCTTCGAACAAGAATGGTGTTCTTACAGTCTGCGCGGTGCAGTCTGGGTGGTGCAAGCCTTGTGGCGCAGTCGATGTGGCGCAAAGCAAGTCAAGGCAACGCAAAACACTACGATGCAACGCAACGCGCTGCAACGGCAACACTGTGCATTCACATGGACAGCAACGCACAGCCATGCGCAGCAACGCAACAGCAATGCACAGCAACGAACAGCAATGCAAGGCACTGCGATTGCAAAGCTATGCGCACCAATGCAAAGAAATGCAAGTCAATGAACGAAACGCACTGCAACGCACTGCAACGCAATGCAACGCAATGCAAAGCAATGCAAATGAATGCAAAGCAGCACAAAACAAAGCACGGCTTTGCAAAGTTATGCAAACCAATGCAACGGAGTGCAAAAGGAAGACAAAGCGAGGCAGAGGGAGGCCAAGCGTAGCAACGCAATGTGCAGCAGTGCGCAGGAATGCAAATCGAGGCAGAGCCATGCGCAGCAGTGCGCAGCATTGGCGCAGCAGTGCGCAGGAAAGCACTGCAGCGCAGCGAGATGCGAACACATACTGAGAGCAGGATGCACGCTCGGACGTGTGCTTTTTCCCTTCGGCGAGGGCCATCGAGGAGCATCCTCGATCATTTGGGGAAACACCCACGCACGAAACCGAAAAAAACACAGGAACTGGACGTCCGAGCGATGGCCAGTGCGAGGCAGCGCAGTGCGCCTGCAGGTCGCCGCGACGGCGCTGTTTTGCGGTGCGCTTCTGCTGCGCTGCGAGATGGCGGCGCCCACGGGAAAGGGGGGGGGGGCGGGAACGGGGCCGCACACGGCCGCACGCACGGGCCTGCTGTCTTGGAAAGCACTCCTCCACGTCCTCGCCCTCCTCCATCTCCTCATCTTCCCCTCCTCCTCCTCCTCCCCCTGGCTAGGATCCATGGCTTCTTTGTGAGATCGGCACTTTGCAACTGCATAGTCTCCACAGATCACCACGATGAGCATGGAACATCATGATCAAAGCCTTTTGAGCTGTCTCCTGTTGGGCCCAATGTACATGGCGCAGGATGGTACCGGGTCAACTTAGACGCCGTGCTGAAGACAAGTTGAACAGTTCGAACGCGCTAAGCAAGCGCAAGCCAGGAACAGATCAGCACCCTCCCTTTAGGAAACCATCATCGCGATTCGAAGATCGTCTCCAACTCTGCGCTTAGGCGCACTGACCACATCCTGCGCCACAGGTTTATGCCCGACTTTTTTGACCTAACGATGACATCCTCGGCTGCCGAATGCGCTTCATGGCGGTGGGAGCCATGACAGCCTCCGCGGCCGTGCCTCGGAGAGCAACCTCAGACACGCCCACTGCCAGAGGGACGCACGGAACACGCCCTGCGCCCACGTTTGGGGGGGGATCGGCTCGAGGGGTGTGCGCCAGCTCCCACCTCCCACCACGCCCAGGATCGGATGTGGATAGACCTCCTAACCTGACACGTCGATTGAGGAATTGGCCGTTTTCGGTTCGCGAGAGGGCGTCGCGGCCGTCATTTTTGCGGGTCCAGGTCCGTCGATTTCGACCCCATGCCGTTTTCACTAAGGGGTGGTCTACTAAAGGGAGGTTTGTCCACCGCCGACAGGATCACGCGGTTTCGCTCTCGGTGGCATGTCGCCGATATCTCGGCAGAGTATATCGCCAGCTTCAAGCTCGCTATGCCCCCCCCCCCCCCCCTGAGCCGGTCCCCCCTCCCCCCCCTACCGGTCCTTCGGTGGAACATCAGGGGAGCCTGGCATGCCCTTTTTACTTCGTCTTCAGCGTGGGCTAGTGTCGATTAGCGTCTGGAGTCGATGAGACAGCGCCGATGTGGCGTCGGCTGGCATACGTTGTGTCGGCTTAGCGTCAATTCGCGTCGATCTGGCGTCGATTTGGCGTCGATGTGCAAGATGGTATGGGAGGCTCCTACGAGTTGCCACTGAGCGCTCCCCTCCGGCCCACGCCTCGCAGACGGTGCGGGCCCCTGGGGCGCAGCGCAGAGGCAGCCGTGCCAGACAGCTCCCCTCATGTCGGCAGGACCCCCCGCTCGCCCGCGGCATCCCGCAGCGGAAGATGGGCAGGGTCGAGAGGCAGATCGGCCTCATCTCGGCGCAGGCCGAGAAAGGCTCGCGATGGACCCCCGCCCGACGCGGGGTAGAGCGAATTTCGGAAGCATTGGGTCAGGAACTCGAGCGCATACATTACCAGTGGCGTGTTCTTTCTCAATCCCTGGGTTTTTTTGAGGGCCTGGGACGACGTCGGGGTGGTGTGGTGTGTACGTACGTTTTTCCCGTGCCCCCAGGGAAACAACGAAGCATGTATACACCATCCCGTATACACCAGGATCCGCTTTCCTGTGCGAACTTCAGTGCGGGGCCGGAAATAATCAGGAGGAAAAGAATCACACAGACACAATTAATCCTCGATTCCCCCGAAAATATGGGAAAATATGGGAAGTGGGGGGGAAGACAGAAACCCAGAAAATATAAGAACATATGGGGAATCTGTTTATTTGTGTGTATTTATTTGTGTGTCCTGGGGCCCGTTCAAAAAAGCGCCGGAGTAGAGATCTCGGCTTCTTCACAAGCTCTCGGAGCTCCGTGCCGTTTTGTTGCACCTGCGCTGGGCCGCCGTGGCGCGCAAGGGAGGTGGGGTGGGGGGCAGCGCCGCTATAAGAGATCTGCACTCTGAATCTCTCGGTATGGTGCACCAAAGAGGTTGCATTTGAGACGCGTCTTTTCCTT